TTGTGCCAGCTCCGATACCATTTAATTGCTGGGAGCGTAATTCAAGAGCTGGGCTACAGGCCATGGAACATCAGCAACACGTCCCTTCATCTGCTGAAGCGGGACAGCAACCTGCAAAGGCACCACAGTAGGAACAGAATCTCTTACAGCAGGGTATTTACTTGCTTTCAGGTGTTTTACAAGGATAGGCCAGATCATCAATATCCAAATTCAATTCCTTTTCAATCAAGATGGAGCAGGGGAAGCATTACAGGGTTTGCTCCTATGCAAGAGCTGCTCACCTCCTTGCCAAATTTACTAAAACTGTGGATTAACATTCAGAAAAGGAATAGGATCTTCTAAAGTTCTCAAAATGACTGTTTCCAAGTTTTTCCTTCTGTTATGCTGGAAGCTTTTCATCAATTCCTTTCTACCATGATTGCTCAGAAGCACCAGAGGGCACAGGGACAGCTGGGAAACCTCTCAACATGCTGCCACCAAATCAAAGCTCCTTGTACCTGCACTGGGAGATGCACATGTGCGCCCCCCACATCCCAAGGTGGCTGTGGGCAAGCCCTACCTTCTCCCTGCTTAACCCACATATACAGGACAATCCAACCTGCTCACCCCTAGGTTCCGGCCAACAGCAGAATGTGGTTCTGCCCAACCTGACTATACGAGGGGATTACTCATAAGATGCAAGTCTTAGTCCCAGTGGAGATTAAGCACAAATAGATTCTGTCTTTGGGCCTTCTGCATGAACAGCAGTGCCAAGGGATCAGTGTCCAGTGGCAGAGAAGGTAAAGCAAGACTGCTAAGCAGGTTTTTAATCAAACTTGCCTCAATGAACTGGACCTGCAGACAAACATAATGGATGCAACGACCTTCTTTCATTCTTCATGCAGTCAGGGGGACTTAAGAGTCAAACACTGAGAGTGCAGAAGGCAAAAGTGATCTCCTGAGAGCAGAATTATTATGGGATCTGCTTCCCAGGGACTCTTCCAGCCTTTACATCAATGGGTAAAGCCACTGAAACAGAATATAAAGACAAGCTTTAAGGAGCAGAGAGACCCAAGTCAGATTCAGTGTAGCAGCCAGTGATGAGGAGGTAGACCTGCACATTTGGCCTTCTCTAAAAGCATGAGCACCCTGCACATGGCACAGGCTTCAGGAGCACAGACAGACAGACAACAAGGGGATTCATCAGACACAGGTATCTCCATGACAAGAAAGACATAACTTGCTTCTACGCTGCTGCTTTATCCTCCCTTTTCAGAGGGCCAGAGCTGAAAATAAAGAAGAAAAGGCAGAAAGAGCAAGTTGATGAAACAGGCCAACTGCCCAAAATGAGTAAGAATGACTGAGTCAAATCCCTGGTCAGCAAGAAAGCTCTGCACAAAAAAACTCCTTGATGTACCAAAAGCTGAGGTAAAATAATAAGTCTGAAGAGACAACTAAATGGAAAAAGGAGAAATGAAAAGATCCTTGAGGACGTATCTAAAAATACCCTTTGACAGCAGCTCCTCAGGGAAGGCTTCAACACTTTGCAGAAGGGCAGGGGGTGGGAGAAGGGAAAGGCGCAAAGTGCTGCAGAGCCCCCTCCTGCCACCCATCACCTGGCCTGGATGGGGCAGGACATGCAGGATCCATACGTACCAGCTGGTCACAGTCTCTTACACCACGTACATTCACTCCCAGCACTAACATCCAGCTGATTACTACATCTTTCTGCAGACAGCACATCCCAAAAGGCAAGTAACCTCTTTTAACAATACCTCTTTCCTTCTCAATAAGCATTTCTTACGCACATTATGTATCTGGATCTTGTGCATTATTGCAAATACAGCTTCTTATCAAAACAACCAACTGGAAGAGGTCTAATGCTTTATGCTTTCCTATTTTGCCTATGTGGAATAAGGCACAACATACCAAATCCACTCAGAATCCCAGCCTGGTTTGGGTTAGAAGGGTCCTTAAAGCTCATCCAGTTCCAACCCCTGCCACGGGCAGGGACACCTTCCACTAGAGCAGGTTGCTCCAAGCCCCTGTGTCCAACCTGGCCTTGAACACTGCCAGGGATGGGGCAGCCACAGCTTCTCTGGGCACCCTGTGCCAGCGCCTCAGCACCCTCACAGGGAAGAGCTTCTGCCTCAGAGCTCATCTCAGTCTCTCCTCTGGCAGGTTAAAGCCATTCCGCTTGTCCTGTCCCTACAGGCCCTTGTCCAAAGTCCCTCTCCAGGTTTCTTGTAGCTGCTTTAGGCACTGGAGCTGCTCTAAGGTTTCCTCTTAAGGAGCCTTCACTTCTCCAGGCTGAACCAGCCCAGCTCTCTCATTCCTACAATAAAACATTATAATCAACAACAAAGCTTGTCATCACAGTTCTGCCTAAATCAGTCTTCTGAAACAGCATAACC